ATGGCTTGGAATATTGATATGTATTACCAGTGATGGTCAAACAGCCGGTATATTTAAATTTGGGTAAATACCCAAAAAAATACTGTGTTATTTAAGGTATATAATAAATACTATGTTGATTTAAGGCACTCTAACAAATTTTAACAATTTGATATTAAATTCGACATTAAAGATATATTTGGAATTTAAAAGGTCAGAAACCACTAGTTAGTAAAATAATGTACAGATACATACATACAGCCATTACTCGCTGACGAGTATTCGACACACATCAGAAGATGGGCACACAAGGCGTTTTCTTTCATGAGCATTTCTGTGACCGAAAAGCCCGATACGTGATGTTATCTGTCTACCGCACTCCGGACATTCAAAAATCTCATTGCTTTGTTGCCTCTTTTCTTTTTGGTTGTCGCTGTTAACTGAATTTACTATTCTTCTCCATTGAGTTCCATTGTAAACTGCTTCTTCCCAATGATTCTGCATGTTAATCCCCTTTAAGTTTTCGTGGAAAATGTCCTTGTACCTTTTGAGTTGTCCATCCGGCCTCCTCTTACCGTCTACAAGCTCACTGTAAAGCAGAGATTTTGGAATTCGGTTTTCTAACCATGACTTCAATACACTTGTAGTTAGCTTTTTCAAGGACCGATACGTTTGAGACATAATGGAACCACCGGATTCTTAAGAGTTGTCTAAGAAGCCAAAAACTCTAACAGAAGCCAATAAACTCTACCAAAAACAAGACAGCACAATAGGCCAGTAAACGTAGCCGAGTATTATACAGGGTGTTTCAAAACAAATGCGAAAAACTTCAGGGGATGATTCCTTGTTTAAAATAAAGGGTAGTTTGCTTCATAAACGTTGGGTCAAAAGTCAACCATTAGGGAGATATCGCGGTACAAAGATGGCGGAAAAATAATGTTCTTATTTTTTATCTTGAAAACGAAAAGAGATAGACTAATGAAATTTTATGGAAGCATTACTGTTATGAAAACACACTCTCTGGTAATTTTTTCACTTTTTTAAAATGAGTGGAAGGGGTTGAAATAAACTACCCCTATCATTCTTGTTAACGAAATTTAAAGAAAAATCTTATCAAACGCATGCAAAAAAATTAATTTGGATAGTTTAGTTTGTTTAGAAACTTTTTTATCTCTTGTATTTTTTTTACAAAACTCACCGATTTGAAATTAAAAAATAAAATGTAAAGCATTACATGTCAGGACTAAAAATATTTTTAGATTAAGAATCTGGTGATAATAATGATAATAATAATAATCTAGATAATAACGTATTGCAGTAGGGTAATGTCAAATAAAACAATATTAGAAACATCCTAAAAAGTGACAGCGGCCGACTAGATTTTTTCCTAAAAAAATTACAGCTTCCCACTAGATTCCTTGAAATGTTTTTTGTCCTGACATGTAATGCTTTACATTTTATTTTTTAATTTCAAATCGGTGAGTTTTATCAGAAAAACACAAGAGATAAAAAAGTTTCTAAATAAACTAAACTATCAAAATTATTTTTTTTGCATGTGTTTGATAAGATTTTTCTTTAAATTTCATTAACAAGAATGATAGGGGTAGTTTATTTCAACCCCTTCCACTCATTTTAAAATAGTGAAAAAAAATTACCAGAAAGTGTGTTTTCATAACAGTAATGCTTCCGTAAAATTTCATTAGTCTATCTCTTTTCGTTTTCAAGATAAAAAATAAAAACATTATCTTTATACCGCGATATCTCCCTAATGGTTGACTTTTGACCCAACGTTTATAAAGCAAACTACCCTTTATTTTGAACAAGGAATCACCCCCTGAAGTATTTCGCATTTGTTTTGAAACACCCTGTATATAAAGGTGGAAAAAATTAGTAACTAATCAATCTCAACGGGAATGTGTAGATAATATGATCTCCTATTTAACTCCTCAAAAGTTCCATTCGGTCCCAGTGGGGGAAGTTCGAAAAAACCGCCGCCATCTTCGATTTTTTCGTTTTTTTTCAAATATCTCCGTTTGCTTAACTTTTTTCGAAAAAACTAAAGATATGTTTTTTGAAGAGAATTAAATTTAGAAGATTTTATCTTCAATCATTTTTTTTTCTTAAATAAATCGTAACAGAGATAGAACAATTTTTTACTATACGTTTTATATATTTTCCAGTTTTTTTAACCAATCAGCTATAATTTTTGCGTTAACAGTATAGTGGTAATATAGATAAACCAACCAAATATAAATTTAAACACTAAAACAATTAAAAATAATGTTTAAATTAATATTATTTATTAAATAAAATTATTGTTAAAAAAATTATTATTAAATTAAAGTTATTAAATCAAATCTGCTATGACGTCATCCTGACGGTCATTTTCGTCCTCAACTAAAATACAAAAGTTTGTGCAACTGATTCTCTAGCACTAACCACACTTTTAGAACATTTAAGACCCAGTTTTCTACAAGGGCAATTTTTAGAGCACTTTGCAATTGCAAAAAATTAATTTTAGTAGGTCAAGAGGCGCCAGGGCCACATCTTCTGTTGATTGAATAGGTGTCAGATTGCCTTATTTCTTCCATCCATATTGTAAGGGATCTAACTTGTTACCAATCCATTCTTGAATCTAAAAAATCCAACTTATAATATATCCTATAATAGATATATCTTTACAGTTACCTGAAAGTATGTCCTGAGTAAATGGAGTTTTGCAGAGTTCTCAGTTGGGGGCAAATTAGCTAATAGTCGAGTAAAAACGATATAAAAATGCGTCAAAATATTTTTTGGAGGTATAACTACATGCTATCTATACAGGATTATCAGTTAAGGCTTTGTGCATGTGAAATGACTAATTACGACCTTTTTGGAGGGGTCAGAAATTTTTTATTACGGAAAATGTCAAAAATCTGTCATAAATGTATAACCATGTTTTTTTACCTTTCTTACGCGATAACTCCTAAACTAATCAACTTATTCACATACTCTTTTTTTTAATCGATTGGGAACACATAGGCGGTGATAGCTAAGGTAATTAAAGTTCCATAATGAGCGTATTTTTTTTTTGGAAAATGGATTAAACTTCAAACATTAACTTTATTGTATCATGGTTTTCGGTAAGCGAGAAACTTTTTTATTTGAAGGAATTTTTACATAGTATCTGCGTATGAAATAAAGAAAAAATATTGAAAAAGTTTTTAAAACTTGTTACAACCTTCTATTACTAATAGTTTTATAGTTAATCTGATTTAAAGTTATCATTAGGTAAATTTGATTAAGGTAAAAAATAAAGGTAAATTTGATTAAGGTTTATCACACTTAAACCTTACCGTTTTTGAAATATTTTCAATTTTATGAAATTTCAGTAAAAAATTAAAGGCTTTATTTCTCCAAGGGTATCAAAGTTTTTAATACTAAATATTTACTTAAGATTATTTATTGATCAGATATTGTGTTGCAATAATAAAAATTATACTACCTTATACAGTGTCCAAAAATTTATATTAGATAATTACTAGCTTTAAACGGCAATAACTTGTTTAATTTAAATAGAACACCCTATATATTTTACGTGAATCAGATGCACAATGTAATTGTCTATCAAATTGTATTGTTCCATTTTTTACCCACCTCTTCAAGTTTTCATAGAAAATGCATTTTCTTATAATTTAGACCCCATTTATCGCTATACCTATGGAATATTGACATTTTAGCTTATTTTTAAAGATATAACAAATTTTCAAAGGGTACAGATACTAAAATATTGTCGATATATCTAGTTCGCTTATTTAATTAAAAAATAAAAATACTGTTTAAATATTTTTTGTTCAAGAGGACCAATTAATATGATCCCAGTATTCAAACTACATTATTTGACTGTTTACGTTGTAGTAATAATTGCTCCAAATACTAAAAAACTGAATTTTGTGTGTGTGTATTAGACAGTGTGGTAAAAGCAACACCTTATAGATTTTACTTCATTTATTAACGAATGGTTATTTATAAAAACACAGACATTCATTTTTATAACTTATTATTATATCGATTTCTGAGCCAAATCCACATTTATTTAGAATAATTTTTTAATTAAAACAATTTATAAGTATGTAATTAACTAATTTTTGGTGTTTTTGGTAGGATATATAGGATGGTATATTTAATTGGTATACTCTTTTATAAATATTTAAATAGTTTATTTTGTATGCCAATGGGCTTGCAATATTTACCACCTGTACATTTTGTACATATTATAGTGCTATAAAAAAATCTGAAATGTCAATATTCCATGGGTATAGTGATAAATGAGGCCTAAATTATAAAAAAATGCATTTTCTACGAAAACTTGAAGAGATAGGTAAAAAATGGTATAATAAAATTTGATAGACAATTACATTGTGCATCTGATTTACGTAAAATATATAGGGTATTCCATTTAAATTAAACAAGTTATTGCCGTTTAAAGCTAGTAATTATTTAATATAAATTTTTGGACACTCTGTATAAGGTAGTAAAATTTTTATTGTTGCAACACAATATCTGATCAATAAATAATCTTCAGTAAATATTTGGTATTAAAAACTTTGATACCCTGGGAGAAATAAAGCCTTAACATTTTTACTGCAATTTCATAAAATTGAAAATATTTCAAAAACGGTAAGATTTAAGTGTGATAAACCTTAATCAAATTTACCTTTATTTCAATCGTAGAATCCAAAAATAGAATAATATACAGGGTGTTCCATTTAAAAAAATATAACTATAATATTTTTTACTTATTTGGGACACTCTGTATCTTGTAAAAATATTTTTAAATTGTAGCTCTAATTGACCTTCAACGAACCCAGAACTTACAATTTGTGAAAATCTAATCGTTTAGCTACAATACTCCGTGTCGTATGTGGTGAACAACCCTGTATATTTTGTATTAAAATATTTTATTATTATTAGCATGACAAAGTGACATAGAAAACTAATCTAAAAGTAAAAAGTAAAATTTGTTATTGTTTATTATTTAGGCCACGCAAAGTAAAGTCTACAGTTGATGCTGACGAACTAGATGGATCGAAGAAGAAATTCAGCCCGTCTACCGCCTCAACTTTGAGCGTGAGCAACAGTATCGATGACGACGACGCTTTTGACTTTTCGTCAACCACAACGAGAACCCGTCTTCTGCCACCTGTCAGTCTAAATCCGGTGCCCGGAATAGACGACCAGGATTCTCTGATCAGGGGTAATCTGCTCACTGCTGCAGTTAATGTGACCAGAGCTATTTCGAGCTTTCTGGGAACAGCGCTACAGGTAAAAGGAAATAAGGAAAAAATTGAAAATGATACCATACTGTAAAAAAGTTTGAGTAAAGACGATAAACGTGATTGGTGGTTTGGCATTCTATTTTCAGTTGTGTTCAAAAAACTTGTTTATTCAATAGGAACTGTTAAAATTGCTTTATAATTATCAAAAATAGTAGATATACAGGGTGTCCCAGAAATAAGTGCAAATATTTTAAGGGGTGGTAGATCTCGATAAAAGAAACATATTTTCTCTTTATCATTTTTCAAATAAGTCCAAAATAACGGAGTTATTTTACTTTGAAAATTTTCAAAAAAAATGATTTTTTGCTAAAATTTTGAGAACCACTGGATCTTTTCTGGATTTTCTTTCTTGTAAATTTAATCTAATACCTATGATTTCATATTATCAAGAAATTATGTTTTTTAACTAAAAACTAAAAAAATTTAAAAAAAAAATTCAAAAAATTTCGAATTTTCAATTTTTTTTTTCGCGAAAAAAACCTCATAGTCGTGTTTCTGGGGTTGAACTATACTACCAGTTAAAATATTTGCACTTATTTCTGGGACACCCTGTATAATACTTTAACAGCAAGGGTAGATTAAATGATACTTTAACAGCGAGGATAGGTTAAAAACTTTATTTCTTCTCGCACGTTTTTTACTTGCTTCCATTTTTGAAAATTTTTGTATTCCTTTTTATAAGTTATTCGGGATTTAAATGGAAGTAGTTTGGATATGGCGGTTGTCGCCTCAGCCTGAATATCTGTTGGTAATTTACTTATTTCGTTTTGAGCCAGTTCTGGCTCCAATTCAATCAGCAATCGACACGAAAGATAATTAAAAAATATTTACTCAAAACTGACAACTTTATTTATTTATCAAATTACATAGAAACCAACACCAACCCAGCACAATATTTTTTTTACTCGTAATAAATTCCTTGAAATAATAATTTCTGAATATTTTTTAAACCGTAACTCGCTGTGGAAAAAAAATATTGTTTTATACACACCGATAAAATTGCATTATCGTAAAATACCATTTTATCGTCTTGTATAAAAAATAACTATTAATCCAAAACCCCCTTTCAAAAAACTAGTGTTTAAATTAGTGATTTTTTTTGAAAAGTTGACTAACTAAGTTGAAGAAAATTGAGCAAAGTACTGAGTGTTTCAAACTTGGCCGTCTTCGAATTATACAAGGTCCGGCAATAGTGCGTCGGGCATCTGTAGCTCCTAGACTAAAAAACTTGGGAATTTTGTTTACGTGCAAATTTAAAGTATGTACCAGGGACGTATTTCAGTAAAATATTATAACTTCTACAGGGCGGCTCAAAAAGTGTGAGTGGATCGGGATGATTTCTTTTACATGGAACACTCTGTATATTATTGCATTTTTGACTTCCTTTCAGATCACTTATCAAAATCTTACGATATGAGTTTAGCCTTTGAGTCTGTACCTACTTATTTTGCTATAAATATCGTAATCTTAAATCACACAGGGTGTTCAAAATTCTACGCCAAACTTTCTAAAATATAAAGTAAATTTTCTTTGTTCTTTTAACATTTTAACATTTCTACATTTAGAGTATTTCAAAATTTTTAACGGTTTCGCAAATATTTGCTGTTTTATATTTCATATACAGGGTGGCCCATCGAAAACGTTCCGCAAGGCATAACGGCCAGGGTAATTTTTTTTTCAGAAAATCCAAAAACACGTTAATTTTGTTTGTGAGGGGGACAACTTTTGCCCCAAAAATGATTGCAAAATCTTCAACCTGGGAAGGGTCAAGTGGCACCGCAATGAAAAGAGCTTTCTATTCTCTATATTTCCCCGCTTCGTTTTTGAAAATCGGCCAAGTCATTGAGAAAATATGAAGGATTGAAATTTGAAAAGTTTATTTAAACATTTATCAGACTAAATGATAAGGATAAATTCCTTCGACATACAGTTGCTTCGAGTACACCATAATAATTGCTAAAAAGTTTAACGATATTGAGAAGAAGTCCAACGCACAAGCCACAGAGCAGCATCTAGCAACTACCGCACCTGATCGTTCAACCTCGTGGCAAGTGAAAAATGCGTAAACATCTAGAAATAATAAGAAAAAAACTCAAATTGGTCGAAGGAATTTATCCTTATCATTTACTCTGATAAATGTTTAAATAAACTTTTCAAGTTTCAATCCTTCATATTTTCTCAATGACTCGACCGATTTTCAAAAACGAGGCGGTGAAATATAGAGAATAGAAAGCTCTTTTCATTGCGGCACCATTTGACCCCCCTTCCCATTTAAAAAAAATTGGGGGATGACACCCCCGCTGAGAGGGTTGAAGATTTTGCAATCATTTTTGGGGCAAAAGTTGTCCCCCTAACAAACAAAATTGACGTGTTTCTGGATCTTTTGAAATAAAGAATACCCTAGCCATTATGCCTTGCGGAACGTTTTCGATGGGCCACCCTGTATGACATTTTTCACAGTAACCTATTCTAACTTTTCAAGCCGTTGAAAATTTTGAAATACTCTTGAAACAAAAAGTGTTCATTTTTTTAATTCTCTATCTATTAAAAAAAATATACAGGGTATTCCATTTAAATAAAAAATCAAGAAAAATCATTTTATATTTCAGAAAATTTGGCGTACAATTTTGAACACCCTGTATGATTTAACATTACAATATTTATAGTAAAGTAAGTACAGGCTATCTAAGGTAAATGCCTAATATAGCTTTGATGTCAAGACAGTTCTTGTATTTTTAATATTTTTTTTAAAAGAGACTGGAAAAACATTTTTTATATTTATTTATTAATCTCTGAAACTATTAAAACATATCTAAAAATATCTTAGGACTATGTAAAGTGATCAGAAAGGAAGCCAAAAATGCCATAATATTCAGGGCATTTCAATTAAAAAAATCATCCCTATCCACTCACACTTTTTTGAATTACCCTGTAGAGGTTAAATTATTTTCCTGAAATACATCCTAATACATACTTTAGGTTTGTACTTAAACAAAATACCTAAGTTTTTTGTCAGGAGCTACACATGCCCGACGCACTATTACCGAACCCTGTATATTCAGTGGCGAATGATTAAAACTATATAATTTTTTGCATATACTTACAGGGTGAGTCTTAAATAAATGCAAATATTTTCAGGGCCTAGCCTAGTAGATTTCGACAAATGAAATATATTTTCTCCCCCTGTACTGTTTTTCAAATAAGTAAAATATAACAGAGATAAATATCTTACTTTGAAAATTTCCAAAAAATGATTTTTCGCTTAAATTTTGAGAGACACTGGATCTGTTCTGGGTTTTCATTTTTGTAAATTTAATCAACTACCTAGATATTATGTTTTTTATGAGTTTTTTTATCTAAAAATTAAAAAAAAAATCAAAAATTTCAATTTTTTTGCGAAAAGAAACTCATAGACGTGTGTCTAATATTTGCACTTATTTAAGACTCAACCTGTATAATATATTTTTAAAATTAATTTTAATAAAAGCTTTATCTTAAAAAAATAAAGCTCTTTTTCTTTACAGGTTTAGAATCTAATGGTGCGTTTAGACTTGAGCACGCACGCACTGATCCTCCGCGAATGCTCCAGTGTAACGGCTGTGCGCGCACGCTCACTCTGAATCTGTCTGTGCGCGAGCAGCCGCGAACGTGAGCCGTCTGGTCGGTTTTTGGTCCATGCTCAAAGGGATTTTATGTGTGCGCGAACGCTCAATTTGGACCGGCAATTTGTTTTGTCTGCGTTGTGCGTGTGTGATTTTTTTTTCGTTTTCTTTATTAAAATTATGGAGTGGATCAATGAATCTTCGTTATTATTAATTGAAAAATATGAAAACTTGCCTATATTATGGGATGTTAAACATTCTTTTTATTATTAAAAAATCAAAAAAAATATAACGCATGGCAAAACTTTGTAAATAAAATTAATATTGAATATGTCGATATTAATGAAATTGCTATTCTAACATTTGTATCTTTTGTTCGTAATTTTTGGTGTTATTAAATTTTGTAAATATTTAAAGTCGGGCCTGGTCATTCTTTTAAAGTTTTTGAACTGATCATAGCTCTCCTCAGACACTAAGTTGTTGCAGTAAATTATATCGATTTCTAAAAATTTGAGTTTGCCACCAGCGACGATGTTTTCGATTTTTCTCCTTTGTAATAATTAAGCTGTGCATAACACAATGACTTCAGCCTCGACTATTTCTTGGCCGTCCATTATTTTCGCCAACACAACTCTGCTGTGCGTGCACAAATGGATCACTTCATTCGTCGAAAAATAAGCTTTTAATTTGAACGGATCCGAGAGTGCGAACGAATGCCGTGCGCGCACGCTCAGCTCGTGCGTGCTCAAGTCTAAACGCACCATAACAAGTGTCATCTTACTGCATTCTATTTATTACTACTTACTACTTGCTGTATTTATTACTACTATTCCTAGTTGATCAAACTGAGACCAGTAAGAAATGAATAATCAATTATAAGCCGTAATCATCAATCACGTTGATATTACGTTTTAAATAAATCATGTAGGAATTATCCTCAAAATCCGACATTTTAATGTATATTAAAATAAATAGGCAGAAAGTAGTCTCGACTGACTAGTGAGAAAGAAAATCTAGGAACTAGTTGGGTTGCAGTCGGAAGGGTTTGACAAAGAATTAATACACTTTGTTAATTGCCAAGCTTTCGGAATTTATTTATTCCTTCCTCAGGACACTAAAATGGAAATACAATATGTTAAAAACTTACTTAACGTGGTACCAGAAAAAACCTTCATAAAAACTACATTAAAAAATATGGCTCGTGTTGATAACTCCACCGTGAAGCATCGCTGACCAGTCAACCACAAATTAGGGGGGAAAAGGGCTCTTATAGGGCGGTTAAGCCGCCTGATATTTATTTAGAACATTGGAATAATTAAGAGATGTTGAATTAAAAATTAAAAATTCAATTGCGTCTCAATCTAAGGCGTGAAGGCGCAAAGCAACTGACAGGCGACAACCGCGACATCATCTGTCAACGGTCAATTTTATATAATATATACGTTTGACAATTGACCGTTGACAGATTCTGTACCACGTTAAGTAAGTTTTTATTTTTAACTTTTAGAGCAATAATTGTCTAACATGTATTTCCATTTTAGTGCCCTGAGGAAGGAATAAATAAATTCCGAAAGCTTGACAATTAACAAAGTGTATTAATTCTTTGTCAAACCCTTCCGGCTGCAACCCCACTAGTTCCTAGATTTTTTTAAAATAAATATATAAGTCAAAAAGTTTGAGGATCTGATGAATGGCCCTACTTGATTTATCAACCCACGATTTTTTATTAGATTTAAGATAATTTTAAATTGCGTTTTCACGCTAAACTTTCTAGGGTGCTGCATTCGAACTGAGACACGCTATCGTCAGCTCTAGCGCCCTCGGAGCTGCTTCTGCCAGCTCTTCGAAAGGAGCTAGAGCCAGTAGCTCCACTTCGAAATCATCTAAAAGATCTTCCTAAACTCGTTGTTCTATTCGGAACATTGCAAAAATATCCAGTTTGGGGTAATACGAATTTTAGGAGTCTATTATTTTCTTTGTTAGTTTTCTGGGTTCAGTATTTTTACAATCATCAAATCATAATATCATATTTCAGCTTGGCAGCTGCTCCACTGTTAAATCTGACACAAGACACAGATTATACTTATTAATAATGCTTAGGTTTCATTTCAACATCATCTGGCATTAGAGGTGTTTTTTTTTCGAAAAAAAAAGCTTTCATTGATGTAAGAATAAGTATACAATTTTGAAAGAGATTTAGTATTAATGTTGATTTATAGGAAAACCTAAATATTATGCATTTTAAACTTGGTTATACACATGGTTAAACATATATGCAAAGGTTTTGCTTAAAGTATGCACAAAATATTGAATGATTGCAAATAAAGGTAATTGTAATAATATAAAGGGAGGTCAAACATTTGCTGAGGATTGTTCAACATACTCGTGTACTACATATTATTAAATTGTTTACAATACAGGGTGGTTAGGCAATACAGGGTTACTTCGGCAGCATATTCTGCAGATAAAAATAATTAAAAACGTTCCTATAAATGTATGTCCTAAAATGCTTAGTTTTGGAGATACAGGGTGTAGAGGTTTCCTTTTTATATCGATTTTTTCCAAATAATTTCTGAAGTAACCTCAATATATGGATGAAAATTGGTGTCTGTGAGTTTTTTGACATGATATTTTTTACTTGTTTGAAGTGTAATAGCTTTTCGTCCGTATCTGTTTAAAACTAATGAGTAAAAAAATATACATTTACGACGTTTTTTACGTAAAAAAGGTTTCTTGGTAATAATTGCTAGGAGTAATGACTCTCGAGATATTTGGAATCGAAATTACCAACGCCTGTCATCATTGACATAAATTAAACGTGTTGACTAAATAGTTATTGGACTAAAATAATAAATTTGAAATGTTTTTGTACCAAAAGTTCAACAGAAACTGTTTATTTTTTCGCAGAAAAATTTATGATTAATTTAAAAAGAAAATAAAAATTTCCCAAGTTTATTAACTATCTACTCAACGTGTTTATTTTTTTGCCAATAATGACATGTATTGACTGTTTTCATTGTAAATATCTTGAGAACGGTTGCTCGTAGCCATTTTTACCAACAGACATTTTTTACATAAGTCACGGAAATGTATGTTTTTTTACTCTGCAGCCCAAGAAGCATTTTTTGTTTTATAGGTGTGTTAGGAAACTTCCCAACACACACCATATTATACAACCTAAACGCATCTAGAATGGTTGTCGTGAGTTATTGGTAACCATTATATAACACTTATATGCCCTAAACGGTCCATTTTATAACTGTTCCTATGGTAACCCTTAACACTCAAGGTGTGCAACCAAAGTCCTGAAAACTTTCTCAACACCTTTATATATCCTATCGAGTTACCGCTATAAGACTGAAAAAGGGTATATAATAGTTATATAGTGGTGTTGAGAAGGTTCCCAGAGACTACCTCTATAGAAATATCGCGCATGCGCGTTTTTTGAAAATATACTTGTTTCTTTCTGACTAACTACTTTAATGTTTGCCTTTTTTTAACATAAAAAGCAGATATGATCTTATTTCTCCAAGTTGTCCTACGCAGATAATCCAGACCAGAAACATAAGAGACAAAATGACGCCATCCCTGTGATAGCCTACAAAAGCGTTTGCGTTATGCAAATGACTATAGAAATTACTGGCTTAATAACAACTATTGTGCCTATCCTATATTTTTATAACCCGAGGTGACGACTGTAGCGACTCCCTGCGAACGAAGTTTGACATTACAGCAATTTGACAAAAAATGTGCAGAAAACAAAACATAACCTCATAAAATTGAAATAATACTGTCTCTGCTGTTTTGGTTCAATTTGATCTTTATTTAAAGTGGTAGGAGTTTTTAAAAGAGTTCTAGGGTCCTTTGGTACTTTGGTAGAACAGTTATGAATGAACTGACTATAGAAAAAAGCTCTTTAAGTGCAGAATGTGTAATGTTAAAGCGCAAAGCTCATTCTCTTATGTTATGCATTCTTTAATGCCTTAACCAGGCATCTTCCTGTTCTTGACCGTTTTGGCAACTTTCTATTGGAAATACCTCAGATTGATCCTGATCTCTGCTTGTGGCTGGTAAATTTGCATGTTGGCTTTCAATATTGGTAGATGTAGTTTGAATGAGGTTTGGATTATTCCTATTTTTTTTAAACTCTGAAGAACCTTTCTTTTGAACGTAGATGTATATTTTGTTTTGTCCACTTTATTTTTTTATTATTTATTATAATACCGAATTGCTTTGCTTGCTAATAATTATTTGTTTTGATTATATTAAAAATTTGAGGTTATGTCATTAGGTTTGATATTCGGCAACTACAGGTTATATAAAGCATGCAACCATTTGAAAGGTGCAAAAAAGGTGTTATTGTTTACATAATGGTTCTTAATAACACCTTTAATTATATAGTGTATATCTTGCGTACCTTTCTAACACCTAATACCAGAAGTTATATAAAATAGATGTGAACACCTTTATAAAACCTTACTATGAAACCTTTAGAAAACAAGAACCTCTAGTTTTATAAGGAAAGTGATAAACAACATTTTAAGGTTACTATTAGTGATAAGTAACCAACGCTACACTTATATAAATCAAAACACTGTAAGATACCAATGAGACATTTATTAAACCTTTATATAACTAAACTTGAGAATATATAACCTAAAGGAACTTAAAATGTTACTTGGGAGTAGTTCTATACAGGTACGGGCAAAAAGTTATTACTCTTCAAAACAGTTAAAACACATATAGGTGGCGTCCTTTACAAATAGGGGTGATATTGACATCAAAATCAAAATTTTCTTGTCGAAAAACTCCCAGACACCGATTTTCATCCAAATATTGCCCTTACTTCATAAATTGTTTTGAACAAATCGAAATAAAAATGAAACTTCTACATCCTGTATGTCTACATCCGTAAACTAAGCATTTTAAAACATATACGAACTTTTTTACTTATTTTTATCTCTATCGAATATGCTGCCGAAGTTTCTGGAAGGCAGTTCGGACCACCCTGTATATTAAATTCAGTGAGATCCTAAATACTAATTTCTTTGTAGCCTTTAGTATTAACCATACTTTATATTATGATTTTTGGTAAATTTTTATTAATATTGGAAACTCCAGTACCGCGAAAATTAATTGGTACTTAATATAAAATTGGGCATAATATTTAGTAAAAACTTTAAAAATATAACTTTTCTAGATAATAATCAAAGGTATTTTATTATACTATAGTAGATAGTTATAATATAGTAGATAGTTAAAGTTGAATCCACATAACTACAACTATGTGCTTAATATCTAACTAATTATTTCATGGGGTTTTTGATTCTTAAATTTTATAGTATTTTGAGATATTTTATGCAAAATATATTATTTTTAATGAAATATGGAAATATCGCATGAAGATACGTTTAACATGCAAAACATGCAATTTGCATATTTGGGATTCCCTTTTGCATATTTGGGATAGTGAGTGGTTTATATCGAACGATAAATTAAAGTCTGACTTTACCAAGTAGAAAGAGATGGACATTTAGAGATTAATCTCGCCAAAATCATCGATTGTCATTCACCAGCTGTTTTAGACGCACTATTTTTTTCTATCATAGTTTACTTTATTCTACATCAACTGAAGTTTTTTACCCGAAAAAAACATCTCACATAGTTAGGTTATTTAATAAATTTTAAGGTGCTAGTCGAATAGCTGTTTACAACAGTAGCTACAGAGCAATTTGTGGTGATATCTATTTAGATAATAATATTTTTTGAAGTTTCACATCGAAGTACATATAGAGGCTACTCACAAAGCTTATATTTTATAGAATTTTTGTAACAAATACTTTGGTGTGGTTGATACTTATTCAGACGTTCTACATAATCAGTTATGCTTATAAACGAAGCAAGGTATTTTATTAGGTACTTTTCAGGTTATATGCTACTTATCTTCAATTGTAAGTCTGATACAAAACTCAGAATCGTTTAACAATGCTTATATTTAATTTATCTACCTTTCACTTCAGATGGTAATTTAGGAGAGGTTTTTAATGTAAAATTTTATTTACAAATACTTATTGGTTAAGTACTTTAATTTTATTAGTGCCTCTATTAATGTAACAATTATTAATTTTTAGTTTCAGGTATTTCAATATACAGGGCGATTTAGTTTCCTTGTAATCGTACATAAAATAACATATTGTAAAAATAAATTGTTAGATTAATATGAGGCAATAAACGCTTTGTCTTACATATACATGGTGATAAAAAAATTTTTTAGAGAAACTTTGCTATAGACTGTACAACTTACAGGGAGGGTCAAATTGGACACTTTTAAAGAAAAACACCCTTTTCTATAGGAGATAACTAAAAAACTAATATAGGTGTCTGGAGCACAATTTTCATCAAAAACATGATAGTGAAAACCGCACACCAATATCTGTTACCGTTTTGGAGTTCCGGGGTGTTTTTCAAAAATGTGTATTTTTTACAAATCGCGAAACTTTTTTGCTGTGCAAAATTTTGTATTTCTATGAAAACATTTTCAAAGCGCCTTTTTACGTAGAATTTAATGGTTTAAGTATACTTTTTTTAAAATTAATAATTTAAGAGTTATCAACAGAAAAATTAATTTTTTATTTAGGACACTCTGTATATTTTTAATTAACTGAAAAGAACTTAAAATTACCTTTGCAAAAATATAGCACACTTGATATTTTGTTATAATCCCCTTCGAAATACAGAATTTTTAAAAGTTCGCCACTTTTAACTAGTAGGCTTTGGACGCCTTATTGATGAGATGCCCTTAATGGAACTCGAAAACATATTTTTGAGGCAAGACGAGGCACCGCCTCAGAACGCTGAAGTTATCAGCAAATTTTTGCAGCCAATTTCAAGAATAATTGAATAGCTAACCAAGATCCCAGTCGTTGGCCGTCGATGCCGCCGAA